CAATGCAATCCCCCCCCCCCCCCCCAATTTATTTTCCTCCCCTACTCTTCTGCCCTTTAACCCTATCCTTACTCCATAGATTTCCCACCTCCCTTTATCTCACTTTTCTATGCGCCACCGCCCCCCAACCCCCAACATCCTCTATATTAAATCCCCATACCTCTAATGAACTACACTTCTATCCCTGAGACAACCCAACAGCCTACCCGCCCCCATAGTCACAGCTTATTTGCTGCTCAAGTCTCAACAACTTGTGTATGTTTGGACTTTGTGTCCTGTCTCTGATAAGCTACCTAATTGACCTTCCTACCCAGAGCACCTAAACTCAGCATTGACGACTTGTGAAAAGGGAGCCGTTTGAGTGCTTTAGCAGAGTGTGTCCTTTGCGCCTTTAGGGGGGGGATATCTAACTTCTGCTTTGGATGTGGTGTTCCTCTAAAGGGGGATCCGTACCCACCTCCTCTCTGGGAATGAAGGACGCCAGCTGCTTTATCTTGGTGTTCTGATTATTGAAGCATTTCTTACACAGCAGAAGCTGACAGTTCACCCATTGCTGCTGTTTCGTGACCTCGGCCATCGTCTTACCACTGGACACTGCGTGGTTGAGGTGTTCACTGTGTTGTGCGGGGATAGGTTTATTGTAGTCACCATTCTAGAGTGAAGGATCAAAAGACAAAATAGTTACAGCAAGTCAGAGATGTTTCAGCAACAAAAAGTGACTTTAAAGGATAAAGTTTAACATGGCGTCAGTTATAACCAGGCAAATTAAGCTTGCAAATACAACCCGTCACTTTTTTCCTTTCCCTTGCTGTTATTGGGGAGCCCTTTCATCCCCTCAACAATGGCCCTGCCGGTCTGAATTTCTGGTTGGCCTTTGTGACCTCCACATAATTATTCTTTCTGTCCCTCCTTAATGGAGAGCCATTCCAAACCTTCAACAATTGCCCTGCCGGTCCGAAATTTTAGTTGGTCTTTGTGGCTTCCACGTAATTATTCTTCTCTGTCCCTCCTTCAGTACGACATGGCTTGTCATAGTAAATCAGGAAACCTTATCAATTTTATTCTATGTGGACACAAGTCAGCAGTAAAACCCAAATGAAAGCATTGTGTTGTGCTGCCTGAAGCAGGTTAAAAACCACAAAACCCATTTTTGAAGAGGACCTGTCAGCAGCACTCACCTCCTGAAATCCGTTGTACTGTTCACAGTTTGGGCAGTCCCAGCAGTTACGATTGCCATAGGGCACCACTGTATTCTGGTTGCAAAACCAGCAGTTCACTTTCACATGCGTTGGGCGTTTCCTATAAAACAAGAATGCAGCATGGTCACGCATCTCCTAAATAATTTTTTTTTTCTTACTCCTTCCCAAAAGCGACACTTGAAATTCTAATTCCTACACATTTAAAAAGAAGTTACACGGCTTGACATGACACAGCAAATTCATGCAGACGTTCCCACACTTGTACACAAGCTGATCGATTTGATGGTTATGGAACTTTGCAGTGTTATTGTTCTATATAAAAAGAGTGAGCCGGAGAACATTTGGTAGGTTTTCTGCTACGGATTTGCTGGACAGGAATTGAGCTGCGCACTGGAAAATATCATCCCCAATTAACCCACTTTCATTTTAAAGAGGTTTGACGCACACACAAGCTTTATGTGATCGATAATACCTCCAATGTGACCTAAGCTCAGCAACAACATATCTTTTCCCTCCCTGTCTGCAGCTCTAATGATTATTTTAAGAATGAGTCTGTTCAGACACTGACTGGGTACATTGATGACAACAGACAAAATAGGCATCTCATCGCCCCTGCGGCCATAGGAGCCGGGCTGTGCCAACAAACCTGCACCAAAAACATCCTCTTGCCCTGCATCAGGTCAGACAAGAGATTGAAGGCTGAGATCACTTCACATGGGAGGCAATAGAGGAATCCATGCCACTTGCAGCCTGCATATTGGTCCTAGCATTGGGGCTTGTTCACTCCATCTCCAGACCAGATCTGTATGCGTTTCTGCAAGCGCGGTCATGTTTGTTTTTGATTACTTTTTTTAAGTCAATTTACTTTCTAGTGCATTTCCAGACCGGAAAAAATACAGCATGCAGTACTTTCATTTTTTTAAAACATTCTGGAACAGCCAATAAAAAGAATTTACAAAAAAAAAAATTCTGGAACAGAACACAGTGTTGTGAACTAGCCTCATGTTATTCCATAGGAATGAATGGGGATGCGTTTTCAGACCAAAAAACATTCTGGTATAGATCTGGGGTGAATGGGCCCGATGGGCAGGTTCGTACCATTTTCTGGTCCAGAAAATGGTGTGAACCTACCGGCAGTTCCAATGCATTCCAGCCCAGACAAAATGAGACGTGCTGTATTTTCTTGGTCTGGAATGAGAGAGAGAAGAAACTGGACAGGGAAGGAAGCTGGGGACCGAACTAGAACGTGGAGAGGGTTAGGCCTTGTTCACACCAAGCGCGGAGCAGGTGCAGAGCAGTTGCAGACCGGATCAAAACTGCGTCCAATGTATTCCAATGTTGTGTTTTGCTCCAGTTCACATCGCAGCGTGCAGTTCCAAAGCAGGTGAAAAAACTGCCGCAAGCTCTATTTTACCTGCTCTGGAACGCATGCAAATGCATCAAAAATGCATGCAAATGCCTGGAACACACTGAAAGCCCATGTTAAAACAAAAAAAAAATATATTTATATTTTTTTTTAACCAAACACCGTCCGGAACGCATCAAAAACGCGGCACAACCCACTGCACTGAGTGTGCAGAAACCTGAGCGGATCTGCTCTGCATTTGGTGTGAACAAGGACTTAGTCAAGTGTGACCACACATTTGTACAGAGCAGAACTGTATAAAAACAAATAAGCTGAAGTCCTAATATGAGAAAGCAGACCTAAGCCTCAAGTCTTATCCAGCCCAAAGCAGAAGACACGACATGTGTATAAACTTGCAGCAATTAAATTATCATTTTGGATCAACATTACAGTGCAAGTTACATGCTGGAGCCTGCCAAGGTATACAGCAAAAAAGATTTCACTGCTCTGACACACAGCTTGTGGGCAGGGGACCGCGGAACAAACAAGACGACAAGATCCGACAGACAACTTTTAGAGCCCATTCACACCAGCGCGGCTGCGGATCAGCGCGGTTTCCGAGCCGATTTCAAAAAGGGAGGTTTTGGGAGTTTTTTTTATTGTTTCAGCGCTGAAACGCAATTAAAAACGCCACAAAAACGCACTGAACAGCGTGGTGCCATTGAAAGGCTGTACGGCTGTATCCCCCTCAGCTCTAATGGGTGTCTACCACTGACCTCCATGTCACTGCAGGACATAGTAATGACGTGGAGGTCAGAGGCAGAAACCAAAGAGATCTGAGGGGGACCCAGGAGATCAACAGTCTCAGAAGTGGACTTGGAGGGACAATTTCTCAGGATCAGAGCCGTGTTCTGTGGTGTGGGCGGCAGGGAACTCACCACCTTCTTTTACAGGTAACCTGACTTAAGGAACCAGTGAGAGCTGCAAGGGACCCAGGAGATCTATATAATGGTTTCTCAGGATCAGAATGGTGTCCGGCGGTGCAGGCAAAGTAAAAGACAACGTATTCGCCTTCTTTTACAGATCACATTTGCTTTTAATATTTATTTGTGTGGACAGCAAAGTGGCTTAGTGGTTAGAACGTCTGCTTTGCAGCACTGGAGGTCCCTGGTTCAAATCCCATCAGGACACTATCTGCAAGGCTTTTGCATGATCTCCCTGTTCTTTCTGGTTCCCTCCCACGCTCCAAAGACATGCTGGTAGGTTAATTGGCTCCTGTCTAAAGGTGGACATGATTTCGTTGTAAGGTGATTTAAATTTCGTACGACCTGATCCTCCATAGGCCCAGTACAGAGGTAATGTATTTAGGCCTAAGGTTCAGCTTTACAAATCTTCACCCTAATGAAAGTTCTGGCTGCGGCTTTGGAGACAACTAATGTGCTGGTAGGACGCCATGGCCGACTTCCCTTTCTAAACAATCCTGGATGTCAGGCTTCAATATTTTCACTAAAGCCCTCCAATCAGAATGGAAACGTCTGGCTGGAAAATTCAGCTTGTACTCAATTATAAACATCCAGAAAGTGTCAGCAGGGAACCCGTCAGGACAGAACCCTACAACCTGCCATTGCAAAACATTTTTTTTGGAAATTGCAAGCTCTGTGGCTGTTGTCCTCAGACAGAGCAGGGGTCCCGACCTCCCTTGGTGCATGCTTCCTCTGGGTCAATATCTCAAAGTCTGGAAAGGCAGAGAGCCGGGCAAAAGGCATTTGTAGAAGGAGCGGGGCAGCAAGGGCGGGCGGGCAGTTTACCATTAAACAAGCTTGCTAAAAAGAAACATTTGCAGCAGTTTACAGAATCGAATGACCCGAGGAGGATGCTAGGTAAGCCTGCTGAGAGTTGTACTTCCTCCAAGCCACATTTAGCATTACTCTCCAGGACAGATGCACGGCAGCAACTGTTATCATTGGAAAGCCCAGGACAGATGTAAGACACAAAGAGGCTTTATCCCCGACTGCTATCCGGGTCACTTGGCATCAGCGGCAGGAAGATCTGGAGGCAATATTCTCCTTGTGACAGACAGAGCTACCCAGAGAAGCTTTCCAAAATCTGAGAGCCACAGAAAATAAAAACCCATTAAGGAGCCCTAAACAATTCGGATTTCATCGGAACAATACGGTTCTATTCAACGTCCCCTCCCCCACACATACTAGGCTTAAGCTGGCCAGGCACCAGTAGAATTTCAGGTTGTAGCCACTTTTCCAGTGGCAGCCTATTGGAAATAAATGAAAGAACTGAAGCCACAGTTTTTAAAGCTTTGGATTGCACAAGGGAGGGTTATAACCCCTGTCCGCTTTGGTTTGCCATCTGTGTTCCATTGCGGAGATTTCCCTCCACTTCCTGTCTGATAACCAAAACAGGAAGTGAGGAAAATATTTCCAAAGTGAGGGAAATTCCTGGTGGTCAGCAGGGTCACCAGAACTAGTTCCCCCATTGGAGGATTTCCCATCTATTCCTGTTCTGGCGACAAACCAAAATTTGGGATTCAGTGATAACGGTCACCAGGACACATAGGGAGGGTGAATCTCCCGAATGGGGACACAGACAGCAATAAATACCTGGCAGGTGTTCAAATCCCTCTCCACTCCTACACAAAGGAGAATCTAAACTTGCAGTTCATATTCTTTAGAAAGCAGCTAAAGCCTGAGAAGAAAAGTCTGTCCCCTGCAGGCACACTGTAGAGAGGGACCCAAGCTCTCTGTGTGGAAGCAGTGGTCTCTCTGCAAACGTCCAACACACCCCTTGCTGAGTTAGCGCTGGAGCTCCCCAATCAGCTCCATCTTTGACCTCCACACTACCTGTACATAGATGTGAGCTGGCCCTAAAGAAGCTGGGACCCCTCGAGCAGGGATGTGAGCTGGCCCTAGAGAAGCTGGGACCCCCTAGCAGGGATGTGAGCTGACCCTAGAGAAGCTGGGACCCCCTAGCAGGGATTTAAGCTGGCCCTAGAAAAGCTGGGACCGCCTAGCAGGGATGTGAGCTGGCCCTAGAGAAGCTGGGACCCCCTAGCAGGGATGTGAGCTGGCCCTAGAGAAGCTGGGACCCCCTAGCAGGGACAGGAAACATGAGCAAGTATAGCACCTGATTATAAATTGGTGCACTATGCACAGAGTCCGCTGTCAGTGTACCGCAGAGAACACAATCACACTGCATATGTATAAAATGTCTTCTGTATAGTTTTGAATCATTTGCCAAGTCCAAATCCTCCGCAAGTCAATTTCCTGAGCGCGCTGTACAGGACAGGATCCATCTCTATAGAGGAGCTTAATTCCTCCCCCCGAACCCTGACAGACCCCGCGCTGGACATATACAATGCAAACCACCTCCCAGCAAACTGCTGCCGCTGCAGAATCAGTCCCTGTGTTCAGAGTCAATGTAAAGCGGAGAACAGACATTCCACGTTACAGACTCCAGGGCTCAGGGAAGCCCACATGATGCTGAACCCCCATCTCTGAGCACCCCAAAAATCACAATGTACAGGAGGGAGGTGCGGAGCATGTTCAACATCACCAGAGGAGAAGAAACATTCACACACCAAGATCATCACCACCCGCTGACCACAACGTACCCACCTTTGTTATCACCCGCTGACCACAATGTACCCGCTGCCGCCATCACCCGCTGGCCTCAATGTACCAGCTGCCACCATCACCCGCTGGCCTCAATGTACCCACTGCCACCATCACCCGCAGACCGCAATGTACCCACCTTTGTTATCACCGGCTTACCACAACGTACCCACTGTCACTATCACCCGCCGACCACAACTTACCTACTTCCACCCGCAGACCACAATGTGCCCACCTTTGTTATCACCCGCTTACCAGTGCCACAATATCCTCCCGCAATCACAGTCCCCCAACACCCTTCACAAAATGTCAACATCTCTGTTCAGAGAAACACGCCAACATATAATCCCAGGACCCCCATAACAGCGCCCTTACACCCCAGGACCCCCATAACAGCGCCCTTACACCCCAGGACCCCCATAACAGCGCCCTTTCCCTCCTCCGGCCCTGCCAGTGACAGAGGTTCTCCCGCGGTCACTCCCCTTCTCCAATGATAACAAAGAGCTCCCCTCCCCCACTCACCCCCGGAGCAGGCGGTAAAGGATGAGTCCTGTGCCGGGCCTCGGAAATCTCTCCCAGCCGGTGATCTCGACGGGATGGAGCTTTGGACACAGCGACGGACAGGGATGACGGACACAGCCAGCATGGGCTCCATGAGGCACTGTGCGGTATCGGCGTTCCATGAAAATCCGCCTGTCATTCCCCACGTGTGCGGCGGAGTCTGAGCAACACCGATCCATGAGTGACAATGGAGCAAAGAGGACTTGTCATTAAAATCCATGGCTCAATCGACAACCCGGAGACCGGTCACTGCCATGGAGTTTTATGTGTTTTACAGCATCAGCAAGCATAGAAATCCTTTATAACGATTCTGTCACTTTAAAATCTCCAATGCCCCTCCCCCAGCGCAAAGCGAACGCTTCTCCAACGCACCCATACCTCAATAGATATAAATGGAGGCGCTTGCCGAGCGACAATACCTGCCGCACACAACATGTCCCATTTCTATTTACTGTGGTGCTAACGCACACGTGTGCGCTGCACCAGCTCTTTGCGTTAATTGCACAGTTCTGTGCGTTTAATGCACCTTACCGCACAGCTCGCCTCCCTACGATTACCGTGCGTTGCATGCCATTCTTTTGAATGACACCCCAAATGCACCTTGCGGCCGCGGTGAAATTGCCTGCTCCGGCAACGCACTGTATCGAATACTAAACTCCCCCTTGCATGCTGGGGCAGGAGGGGACGTGGCGGTGCATTCAAGTCAATGGTGGCGGCTGCTGCATTGTGATTGTCTGCACCAGAACACGTGGCACATCAATGCCTGCGTTCCGGTCCAGTGCGATCCCAAAAAATAGTGCGTGCAGTATTTTTTTGCAATCGCACTGGACCAGAATGTAGGCATTGATGTGCCAGATTTTCTGGTGCAGGTGATCACACTGCCGTATGGGAGGGAGTGTAACTGCGGTGCCATTGACTTGAATGCCCGGCCACGCCCCAGCACGCAGGGGGGAGTTTCTTATGTGATGCACTGCGTTCTAGCAGTTAACCACGTTGGAACGCACTTTAATTGGTGTGAACAAGCCCTCAGCGTGTTGTTTTGGTTTCTGTACAGACCGCAACAAGGATCAAAATGTATATATATCTCCTTATTTAAAGGGATATAAACACTTCTTATGTAGGCTAATGGGGATTTTGCGCTGCATTATCACGCCACAACTGCATGGCAAGCGGTTGGCGCGGTCCCATTGACTGCAATGGTCAAATTTGGCAATCCGTGCGCCTACCATAACGATACATGCTGTATATAGTGTGCCGCAGCATGTGTACACGCCTGATCAACTTCCAGTTTAGCTTTTATCACTTTCCTGTTTTTACCCATTCATGTGAACGAGGTTGCAGAGTTATTGTCCAGTCAACTGACACATGGGCGATTTCTAAATCTTCCGGGCAGCCATATTGTGGGAGAATGCTGTTCCCATGGCACTACCGCCACTAGAAGGAGTAATCCCCATGTCCCTGTGGCTCCATCTAGTGGCTGGAAAAGCACCAAAGCATTCATGGACATGCGCCATTGTTGGCAACATAGTGCACCACATAACACTAGTGCGTTACCGCGCTTTGTGGCGTGCTGTGATACATGTGTACGTTTGCACATGCCTGCACACTAAAATGTTTTGTTTTAGCGTGCAGGCTGGTATCCGTTCTGCACCAGCGGCAGGGAGCAGTGCCTTGCATTGGGCCCCAAAAAGTAGAAGGAAAACGCTGTCAGCCACAGACAAGGAGCCAATCACAGGCGCAAATCTACACAACAACATCACTGCATATGAAATATCTGCCCGTAGCTATCATTCAGATCTCCCCTTAGTACATCTCTGGTAGAATACACATGGTCGCTATGGCAACAAGGACAGCATATATACCAATAGACAACACCAGGCCTCGGGCAAATGGCTTTCCTGCAGATTCAGGAGCTCTGCGGCCATGTCGTACGCACACACTGGATCAAGAGTAGGCAACATCAACACCCTAGAAGTCCCATGAGGCATTGCAAGACTCAAAGGCATGATGGGATTTGTAGATACACCACAGCTGGAGCGCTCAGGTTGCCTGTCCCTGCATTTGACTGACAATGGCCTAGATAGGGCAACAGCGAGGCAAACGCACAATAAGTCCAACAAATGGACATATAATGAGGGGAATTGATCAACACTGGAGCAGTTGTCCATGGCAACCAATAAGCTTTGAAAATGAAAGGAGCTGAACTGGAGAGAAGCTAATTGGTTGCCATGGGCAACTGCTTCAGATTCCATCTGCTCCAGTTTTCATAAATTCCCCCGATGTATTTATTCCGCTGTAGCGCACCACAACACATGGGAGTGAGTTACAGTGTGTTGCGGTGCGCTGCAGCATACCTGTATTGGCAATGCGCTGCCTTCGTGCATCACTGCACGATAAAGGTGTATTTTGTCCCTCAGGTCAGGCCGCGTCTTAGGCCTCATTCACACGTCTCACTAGGCCCAGACAGATTCTAATCTTTATCCGCCTGTCTTCTCCATCTGTGAATGAGGCCCATGTGCGTCTGCTGGTAACTGGTCAGTAATCTTCAGCACCGGCACCTACGCAGCACGCAGTTATAAAAAAACATGCATCATAAAAGTGGATTATATTGAGCAAGTTGACTGGCGATATTTATTCCTCCAGAGTTCTATTTTAAATGTAAATGACGCAGCTCCCTGTACTTGGGGGCCGCGAGTACGATAGCGGCGTGCGTGTGACTTTGCAGCCCCCCCCCC